TTTTGCACAAATAGCTTTAAGAGTGTCAATGGAACTCAGAGAAGGCTGCACACTGGGCCGGATTTACTTCTCAGGAGCCTGTAGGCAGAGAAATCCAAAGTGCCCCTCTGCTCCATAAAAAGGGAGACCCACACACAAACACCTCACCCCCTGCTGTCCCAATGCATAATACAATAAAGCAAAGCAACCCACACCCAAGACCCCTTTCCCACCCACTCTCTTCCCCTTCCCTGTCTTTCCCGAGGTCACACGGCCCCAGTCAAGCCCGGGGGACTTTAAAAAAAAAAATGCCTGAAGGACAAAAAATTGATACCCAACATGCCGAGGTTAAAAATTCTGTGCGTCAGTTAACTGGTGATAAAATACAGTACCCCAAATTGTCCATACGTGATGCTTTAAAAGCCCGTACAGGTCATCAGTTTAGACATATCTGTGAATATTGTCTCTAGAATGAATGCTCTCACTCACTTTTTTCTTTAAATAAATATTTGTATTTTTTATTTTTTTGTACATTTAATTTATTTGATCTTATTTAAAAAAAAAAACTTTTTTTATTTTATTTCTACATTATTGCTATCACATAAGGGGACTTACAAGCCCCCTATGTGATAGCACGGTGAAGGTGACAGGTTCTCTTTAAGGTGACACTAGGGGGCCTATATTAACATACAATGTTAACAAACAGCTTTTTCAAACTCTTTAACCCCTTCATGACTGAGGCCTTTTTTTCATTTTTTGCACTCATGTTATATTCCACATTTTAGGCCTGAAAATTACTTAAAACCCCCACACATTATATATTTTCTGAATGAAGTGTACGTCGTCAGTCACGAAGTGGTTAAACCTGATTTTGATTGCAAAACCTATAAAATTGATCAATGCAGCTAGCCTGAAAACAAAAATCTAAACATGAAGACCCTGGCTAGAAACTGGAAAAAAATGCTTATTCCATATGTGGAATTTATGCGAAGGGTTGACAATATTATGGTAAATGAACGTCTGACTAGTGTCCTATAAGACAAACATAACAAGTTTGTTGGGAACCCTGGATACAGACTTGTCATCCTGAAATAGATTTAAATAACTTTGGGTTTCTCTGAGATAAGTGGGACAGGGGAGGGGATATTGAATTGTATTGTGACTGTAATGTCTTCTTTATATTGTAAAGCGCTGTGCAAACTATTGGCGCTATATAAATCCTGTACAATAATAATAATAATAATAAGGGGATAGTTTTTGGAGCCCTGGTCGGAGATGGAGGATGGCAAGACCCGTTTCTCTTGATTTCTGTCCTTTTTCTTTACCTCATTTTCTTTTTCCTTTCTAAAGTTATCTCTTTCTATTTCATATTATTGTCAACTGAAGCCTGCTTCACCACAGAGGAGTGACAATTATATATTCTATATATGCTTAGTTCTCTTGATCCTATTTGAGGACGACCCTGGATGGAGTCATCTTGATGCAACACTGGACTATGATTTTTATTGGCTTATTTGTTATTAAAGCTTAATACTGTAGTATGATATTTACATTGCTGCAGTAGTGGATTACTGGTATGTTTTGTGTATGATTTGTTATGCTTTTGGAAACCTTTAATAAAAATATTAAAACAGAAAAATATCAACATAAAAACTTGAGTTGAACCTGTTTGGTCTTGTTCATTAAACTAGAAAAATAGGAAATTACTATTTGAACACCCATTTTGGTAAATCTATAAATGACTGCACAATGAGATTGTAATTTGTTTAGCTTTTATCACTGATCAAGCAAAGACTAATTTATTAAAAAATTAGCCTTTCAGGGTTATTCACAAAAGGGTGAAGAGTTTGGAGAAGGCAGGAGAAGTGAACAATCTAGGACAACATAGCTGAACTGGAAAGTGAGTTGAATTGGAGAATTTTTCCCAATCAGCTATGTTGTCCTAGATTGTTCACTTCTCATGTCTTCTCCAACTCTTCACCCTTTAGTAAATAACCATGTTTAAATCACAGTTTTCGTAAAACTAGCAATCTTGTTAGTGCACTACAAACATTTATATGGCACACAAACGGTGGTGCAAACAATCTAAATATGAATATTATAGAATACTGTAAATAAGCATATTTTCTGTATCTCTGTACAAGTGCAATAACCAATTGGAACCTTTATCAGCTCCCTCTTTACCACCTCCTGCCTGTCCCCCAACACAGCATGCTGCAATGCATTCTGGGAGTTGCATCCTAAAAGCAGTCACATAACAGGCAAAGACATATCAATTGCAGTATGCATGCTCCTACAGTACTGCATTTTTTTAATGCAGCTCATGCAGAAATGTATAATTAAAGCATATTTCTTATCAATTACAATGAGGCACTAAAAATTATATTTTGTTATAAATTCAAATGAATATATTATTAATATTACCGGTAATCTTTTAATAGTATCAACAGTTCTGCTATTTGTATACTTTTTTTTGTGTATTCAGCAGTGAAAAAAATGTAGTCTCCCTAAACATTATTATCACAGGTACTGTTTTGTGTCTAAAAAAAAACTCAACGATGTTGGAACTGTTGTTGAGCTAACTCTCCGCTATGCTTACTCTTTTTTTATTTTTGTATAAATATGATGCAATGCCAAGTAATGTATCTTTTAACTTGCAGTTGCCACCCAGAATTGTGACTGTTCAGTTAGTCATGAATGATATTACATATCAGGTTTCAGGACCAGTTTAATATAGCTATTGGGAAAGTTTCAGTTATTTGCTGAGATTTGCTCGTTGGAAGCACATTTTGTACAATTCTGGTTGCCACCCAGAATTGTGACTGTTCAGTTAGTCATGAATGATATTACTATCAGGATTATTACCAGTTTGACACAGCTATTGGGAAAGAGTCAGTTATTTGCTGAGATTTGCTCATTGGAATTTGGTCAATTTGATCTGCCCATCGGTTACTATTTAACCAACTCTATATCCCAACACAATATTGCTGCTATACTAGATAGCTTAGTGCTCAGAGGACTAGGCTATGGAAATGTTGCTGTTTAACCAAGATAAATATGCCCAGTCTCTCCAGTATGCATAATAACACTGTTGTTACAGAACCAGAGAAATAGATGTACCCAACCAAGTGCAATATTTATTTTCAGAGTGTGCATTAAATGTGGGGAACATTTTACATTTTATTTTTTTGCACCATGGTGTACAAATTGCAGGTGCATTTGATCTCAAATGTAGATATTTTGGATTCTTAAGAAACCTCCATGCAAGTAGGGAACGACCCTTCACTTCAGTTTTTTATGGAGGATCAAAGTGCAGCATGAGCATTGCTGTCAGCTGAGTAGGTCCTTTGGGGACAGCTTTAACCCCATGCAGCATTACATAGTTACATAAGGTTGAAAAAAAGACACAGGTCCATCAAACTATGTGTGTGAGTTTTTTTTGGTGTTTGTGTTTGATCCAGAGGAAAAATAATACGTTTATCTCTTTAACTACTGAAGAACCTCTGTACATGTATAAACGGCGATATCCTAAAGTGGTTATTGCGGCTGTGATCTTTGTACCGTTTTGTACAGCCGGAAATGGCTGTCACATACAAGGGTTCAGGTGGCTATACAGCGGCCCGGACTGGCATGTCTGGTCTCCGCGCCTGGATCTAACTCCCTAGTTAAAGTGACATTAAAGTCACATCCCCCCCCCCCACCAATGCTGCTTTAAGGACTTACTTTAAGTGATGCCTCTTGAGCCGATCATCTTCTTCTTTCCAGTAGTTTTCAGGAGTCCCTCCAGCGCTGGTGCCAGTGTCTGATCCAGCGCAGACTCCTCGGTTCTCACAGTGTCTGTCCGATGTGCATTAACTTTCCCTATGTCTCTCCACTTCTCCAGGCTGAAGATCTCTACTGCGCATGAGCCTTTCCCATGATCCTTCACGGCCGCTCAAAAATTTTTCAGATCTTCGGACAGGAGCGAGTTGTGGAAACACAGGTAAGTTGTTAGCTATTTGGTAACTTTTTAATTCTTTTTAATGTTGTTGCATATATCTACTGCTTGCTACCAGTGACATAAATAAACCTAAAACATTTTTAAAGTCCCCCGCCCTCACACGCACATACAAATGCAAACACACATCAAGTGCCCCTATGTGCAAAAATGACAATTGCGACACACGTTACATATCACCATGAACGTTGGAGTGAGAGCAATAACTCTACGGCCATTACCGACTGTTAAAGCGGACCGTTACCCCTTTGACTAAAAATCACATCAGCATACAGCTCTGCATGTTGATATGAAATCATCTAACATTCATTAGCTAAACAAACATATTTGTATTTTACTTACAATTTCTTTTTCCCCACTTTGGCACAAATGATGTAATTGTGCCCTAGCGTTGCATCCTGGGAGGGTTACATCAGCAAAACATTGCTGGGAAATCTTATTTGTAATCTCATGAGATCTCAGGGAAAGGTATTTTCCTCCCCTTAGATGATGTGCAAGGTCACATGTTCTAGTCACGTGTGCTAGAGTTCCAGGTTGTAAAGGGGGATCTAGTAATGTGCCCTTATTTAAAATGGCCACTGTCAGAAGAAGGGGAAAGAAAAGAAAAATAACAGATGTGAAGAATACAAAGCCTGCAATTATCTAGAAGTATCTGTTTGTAGATTGCCAATACTAAACATTTTTAAAGGTATCTTTGTTGTTATTTTGAACATATGGGCAGAGTTCCTCTTTAACACTAAATAGATGAGTGGTAAAAGCTTTTAAATGGTCACCTACAGGCAGTTTTGGGCCGTTTTTAATTTATGTTTATATGCTGTGGTACAACTATATCATGATGATAATAAGGATAATTGTTTGCTTTAGTCTGTGTAGTGTATTTTGAAATATGTTGGATGAAAAAGTAATCCTGTTTCACTTATTCTCAATTTATATAGTGGTTATTTTAAACAGAGTAGAAATGCCAATTTCTGTGTTTTTCTTATGAGGGTTCTAATGACCTTTTCTATTCTTTCTCTATCTACAGCTGCAGTAAGCAAGCAATTTTATAACCAAACCATACAGATTCTGAATCATGTTTGACCCCAATGTGAAGTACCAGCCATGCAGTACCAAAGACACACCAGTAAGTATATGCAAATAAACATGAACTTTCTTCTTCCATAATGACTCTGCCTCATCTGCCTCCCCAGACCACACATCCCTGACACAGAGAAGTTAAGGTGGCCATGCACAGATCATATTTTAGCTGTTTCCTGTTGAATTGGATGAAACTGGATCTGTGGGTGGCCCTGCCAACACCACCCAGTTCCACATGAGGCATTTTTTAAATACCTTTTTGCAGAAGGAGCCGGGTTGAAAATTGTTGTGGTATTCTGACAGCCGTGTGGATGGGAGAATTGAGTGATTTCTCTTATTCAGCCCGCGGGACTGAACAAGAAAAATCTTAAAGTGTATTTCCACTTTGCAGCCTTATTGGAATAACACCAACTTCATATTTGTTACATATTCCCATTCACATTGCATAACGTTTTAAAAATAGTTTCTTAAATTTTTAAGGGATTTTTACTTGCTTTACTATCCTACACAGTTTCCTTCCTATGCAATGTTAAGGAGGGGGCTGTGGGAAGTTATGTTTACTCTAATTAATCCTGTCTGTCCTGTGCTGGCAGATCTAATTTTTAGTTGTAATCTAGATTTGAACACTGTCTGTCCTAATAAAGGGTTAAAGACTTTTAAGTATTGTATGTTAGTGAGAAGAAGTTTAGGCTGTCCATCAGTTTGGCCCTCTGCTTTCAAACTGCTCAGAGTACCTTGGAATCTACACAAATGTCTTCACCAAAGAAACATCTAAAAAGTAGGAAATATATTTGTTCAAATGTTCTTTAAGTATGCTGTGTGATTGGGAACAGATAACAACCATATAGTGGGGTTTTCTCAAATTTGACATGGAAATATACCGTATTTTGCTCTCCATAAGGCGCACCGGACCATAGGGCGCAGGGAGGGTAGGAGTCCGTGATAGCTGCAGTTAGTGATAGCTGAGACAGGTGGCGCTGTGATTACAGCGCCACTGTCTCAGTGATCACACAGTGCAGACGAAGAACGGACTTTCTTCGTCTGCTCTACGAGCTCTATGGTGAGCTCCTATGCCGTGGTCACTGGTCCCCCAGAGGGGCACACGAGCGGCTCCCACTGTACATTTAGCTCTGCTTGTCAGGATCATGTCTGAATGTACAAAAAAACAACTCGCCCGGCGCCCGAAACTGCATGTCCCGGGCGTCGGGCGAGAGGGATTCTCTACATAAGACGCACAGACATTTTTGCCCCCCTTTTGGGGTGGGAAAAAGTGCGTCTTATGGAGCGAAAAATACGGTACTTGCATAGCCAGCTTTAGCCGTCTTGTCTCGCTCACATTACTGATTAACATTTCTTGCCTTGCCTTTTATTCTTATAAAATCAGACTGCAAACACAAGATTATTGATTAAACAAAAATAGACAGAGATATTTTTTACTTACGGCCATAGTCAATGTTATAATAAAACTATCCAAGGTACTTTTCTTTCAACCTTTGTCTGCAGTAAAGAAACAAAACCTCTATTATTGTTACATATATGACTTTATAATAGCTATGATGCACGTATTATAAAATCATGCTTACTTAACATATTTTGAATTCTATTTGAAGCGAGCAAGTGCTGTTTTGTAAGCACAAGTCTTTTATTAAAAGTGGGAAATAAGGCTTAGTGGGAACAGGATGCATGTTCAAGGTCAAATATCTTGATAAGAGATTTGTAAATTCATTAAACACAGAAGATGGAAGTCTCCTGTGGTCCCTGTTTCCTGTGTATTGCAGGAGATGAGGCATTTGCCAACAAAACCTGCATGTTCTGAAACAATGAAGTGAGGTTCTCCACCTGAGTAAGAATAATAAACACTATACAATAGCCTTGGTATGTGTTATGTTGTGTCTAGTGTTGGCTTGCTGGATACTAAGCATATCTTTTTACAATGATAAACCTTCACAGGTTGTGTCAAGGCTATTTGTTAGCAAATGCAGAGCTGTTTTTTCCTAATTAATAATTCCATTTATGAAACACCCCGTTTGTTGGCTTACCATTTGTCCTTAAAGTGGATCTTTGAGCAATTATAGAAGTCTGCATGAACAAAGTCATGCCTTTACAACAGAGACGTGCGGTCAGGGGAGGCAGGTGAGGCAGAGCCTCACCTAGAATTATGGAGGAAAAAGCTGTCCGCTTCATGTCTGAAGCTGACAGCTTTTTCTCCATTCAGATCGGCATCTAACAGGTTACACAGCAGGGAAATCCTCCCCGCTGTGTAACCTGTCACGGAGCCTCATCGGTGAGGAGCAAGTGAGGGACAGGGAGGCTCCTCCCTTCCTCCTTTACACTAGATTGGGGACGGGCAGAGGCGTAACTAGAAACCTCAGGCCCCCGGTGCAAGAAACCATTAAGGGCCCCC